GGAGTGTGTGTGCATGAGGGAGTGCGGGAGTGTGTGTGCATGAGGGAGTGCGGGAGTGTGTGTGCATGAGGGAGTGCGGGAGTGTGTGTGCATGAGGGGGTGCGGGAGTGTGTGTGCATGAGGGAGTGCGGGAGTGTGTGTGCATGAGGAAGTGCGGGAGTGTGTGTGCATGAGGGAGTGTGGGAGTGTGTGTGCATGAGGGAGTGTGAAAGTGAGTACTGTCTGTGGGTGATTTAAGGAGATGTAGATGCCATTGTGTGTGTGTGTGTGTGTGTCTGTGCTCGGTCCTGCTCTGTACACACTGCTACCTCGCTTACCGCAACCTGGGTACTGTCTGAGCCCAGAGTGTAAAGCGTGGTTAAAATTGCCTCCATCATTCGATACTGTCTCCTTCCATGTCCTCCAACATGCTTCTCTCCACTCACACCAGCCATCGGTTGCAGCGAATGCATTTTAAAGCATGTGATCACCCTGCTGTCGGAAAGTCGTTTGCCGTGACTGGCAGCGCTGTCCTCTAACGGGGGGCCTGCTGTCGCCATCTCGTTCTCGGGGGAGGGGGCACTTGCCGCTGTAATAACCGCACCCCCGGCTGCTTCTATTCAGATTGCAGATTAATGCTTCGTGTGTTACGGGCACCTCAGGACCTGCTGTTCACACTCAGTATCTCTCTCTCCCCCCCTTTTTCCCCACCCCTCATTTTCCCCTTTATAGCAGCCAAGAGTTTGCTGAACAAGAAAGCAGACATCAAGGTGAGGCTCACCAAATGCCCCCCCCCCCCCATTTTCCTCATGATAGCTGTATTTTGTAGCTCTTCTGCCATTTCTGTGTGTTGATCTTCATGCCTGTGACGGTGTGAGCACATGATATTACATATGACACGGCTGCTTTTTTCTTTTGTTGAGTGTGTGTGTGTGTGTGTGTGTGTTTGAGAGAGAGAGAGGTGCACAGTTACACTCATGCTGGTTCAGCCGGGTCCCAAGCCTGCTGGAAGGGCTGTCCATGGATCTGCCTGCTGTGTGTGTGCATTCCCTCTGCACTGCTGGGTACAGTCTACTAAGCTGACTCACGTTTTTGTACCTTTGTTATGATCACTTTTATGGAAATAACACGGTCCAGTATCCCCTGGAACAATGAGCTATCTGCTATGTCTAAGCGTGTGAGCTTATAGGCTGTAGTTTGGACTTAAATTGAGCCCCTCAAGATGGAGGAGTCCCTGAAAGCGGCCATTTTGGAAGTGAACGCCCCTTCCTCAGCAACGGCCCCTATGGTTTTTCCTTGGTTTGTCCACAAGCCGCCAGGCAATCGAGGTTCCCTGATGAAGCAAGATCCTTCCCAGCTCCCTCATAAGCAGATTTCGCCCCGATCTATGAATTGCAGGCCCTCATCTTACATTTTAGGCCCTTGGGCCACTTGGCAAGTGCTTGGAGCCAGATTGTAGGTTGCATTTGAGAAACTCAATCTTCACATGCAGCAGCTCGAAGCTCACAGCCGTAGGGATGACATCAGCTTCTGGTTGGGGCGGCCATCTTGAGGGAGCTGAAGGAGCTGAAAATGACATCGTGAGGAAGGCCCCTTCGCCCCCTTGTGTCTGCCCCCACATGGTGAAATCCCAAAGAGGATCCTCTCCGGTTGGCATGTCTAAGTGACCGGCACCAGCTTATGTAAATTTCCACCACACTGGGATCATTCCTCGTCGTGTTCAGATTTTGGGGAGTGGCGTGAATTTCATTAGGATTTCATCCTGTTAAACAGACTTCCTGCGCATGATTGGCCTGTGTCATCAGGTGACAGTGACAGTGCCACAGGTGCACATGCTCACCTGGATGCCCGTCACTCATTTCCTCGCGTCTCTGATGCGCTGCTTCCTTTTTATGTTACTGTGTTAATTCTCTTTCTCGCTTTTTTTCCTCTCCATCTTCCGTGCTCCTCCTGAGCTCCGTATCCTCCCGTCCTCGCCACACCGTGCACCACGGCCTCAGCCGTCCTGTCTCCAGCTGTGTGTGTGTGTGTGTGTGTGTGTGTGTGTGTGTGTGTGTGTGTGTGTGTGTGTGTGTGTGTGTGTGTGTGTGTGTGTGTGTGTGTGTGTGTGTGAGAGAGAGGGCGAGGGAGCCTGAGGTGCTGCCAGGGATGTGACTCCAGTTCCACATTTAGCTGTGTCTCTCAACCCTGCAAACTCAGTGCCAGAAATAGACACTTCCACCGTGCCGTCCCCATCGCCTAGCAACAGGCTCGCAGCGTACCTGCATTCTGACAGATCTGCATCGTGACATCTCACTGAGACCATCCTGTTCCCTTCCTGAGGGGTGGGGGTGTCACTGTATAACCAGTGTGTTTTTATTACGGTGGCTCAAAGAGTCCATAACCAGAAGTGCAGTGTGACGAAATCAATCCACACGTCGTTTCGTTGAAGTGCCAGGGGCGGCCTGATGCACCACCTTCTGTCCCTCTGGTGTGGACGGGGTCACTGATCTGTTTCTCCCCATCCATCAGCTCAGAATCAAGCCTTTCATTATGTTTCATTCATGATTATTTGAGCGAGTCGTTTTCGTTTATGATAAATGTCAGTTTGACGTGCAGCTTCCACCACTTAGCTGTGCTGAAAGGGCAGTGAGAACGAGGCCTTACATGGTGAAGAATAATGCTTCTCCTTCCGTTCGGGGCGATGTGACCTGGCAGGCTGCCTGCGTGATTCCCCACCTCTGCGTAATGTGATCGCAGTGACCCCCCACCCCTCACCCAGCAGAGCTGTGTTCAGTCATTGAGATCAGTCTCTTCTGATGTGGGACCTGAATTATGGCAGAAAACCAAAAATAAAGTTCGAGTACAAGGAGAAAGGAGCCGTCGCTTTGCCAGAGACCCATATGATTGAATCCCCAGTATTGCTTATTTAAGCTCACACTACGCTGCTAAAGTGTCCCTCCAGCCTGCCTGTGACGTTCCGTTCTGCGGTGAAGTGTTTGGGCCTCTGCTCGTGAGACACTGCACTCCCTGTTCTGTACTTTCAAACCTGATGCCTTCAGTGCTTCGAGGACGAGTTCTCATGTTCCATGTCAGGGAAGAGGAGGTACTCGGCACTGGGTGATGTCACCACCTTCCGTGTAACATTCCACTGGAATTCTGTCTCCCTCTGCAGGAACAGATCTCCACCTGTACCCCGCGATATCCAGCAGGCGTGTTCCAGTCCCACACGTGCATCTCTTTTATTGTTCTCTGTATCATGGCAGCTCTTCTCTCTGCCCTGATAACCTCTGGACTTCTTCCTTGCATGTGTGATCTGTTTAGTTAGAACAATGTCAGTAACATTACAAGGGATGTTGAAAATGCCCAAGCCTGCCCTACATTATCCTCCAGTCTTGGTATTTAAACGTTCACTCTGCGGTGTGTCACTTGGTGAGCTTACAGCAGGGCTGTTGGAATCACGGCCCTCGAGAGCCGAGCCCTGCTGATTTGACAGCCTTCCTTCACCCGTGCCTCTGTGGACAATCAGAATCAGTAACTATTAAGCTGACAACCAGGGAAACAAGGCCTGGATTTGGAATCCAGGGCCAGATGTGGAGAGCCCTGCCTTTGACCTGGTTTGGTCTTTAGCGCTGAACTTGGAAATGACCCTGCTGGCCCATCAGCATGTCAGTCACCCCTAACTGCGTTTCTCTGGTCTTCAGCCTTCTTCAGCCTTTCCCTTCTTGCTGAGGAGCTTCAGTGGCAGAGTCCCGCAGACGGACTGGAGGTGTTCTTCTCCTTAAAGGATGATATACTCAGAGGGGAACGTGCTCAGGATTGCAGAGAGCCTGTTTCGCGGCTGTACGGAATGCCCCCGGACCCCTGCGACCCATGCAGTCGGCCCTCCTTGTGTTGCTTAAGGAGATCAGTGGGCCCCTGCGCCATCGTCCCCTCCCTTCCTCCAGCAGCTCTGCAGAGGAATGTGACAGTGCGTCTGTGTGTGTGATGTTGTGAGGTGCATGAAGCTCCTCGGTGGGGTGGGTTGCTAGGCAACCGCCGCAACACCTGTCGTGTGGCTGGACAGCGCCTCCCTGAATCCAGCCTTGGGTGCTCGGCACCGGCTGAGGTTCTGGCATCTGCAGGGAAACAGCTGCCTCCATTCTCTCCTCTCGTTTGTGGTGCCACATTTGTTTCTGTTGTGTGCACATAGATTTTTAAAAATAAGTGTTCGGTCAAGCTGATGAGGCAGTCAGAACCATGGCCCCTCCCACGCCTGCTTATCTGCCATCCTATTGGCCAGAGTGAGCAGAATGAATGCATGTTAGCTAGGGGCCCAGGGCCTCACCAGCTTCACCCCCCCCCCCCCCTCCCCTGCACCCTGGAGTGTCCTTTCTCTGATTCTGTGGGTGACCCCCGACCCGCGTGTCGCACGGTGACCTGCACGCGTGCACGGCCGTGACCCTCCCTCTACCCCAATGGTGTCTCACCCTCCGCACCTCCGTCTTGTGTTTCCCACGCAGCCGCAGTCAAACAGCACGAAAAACAGCACGGTCACCAGCCCCAAAGGAAACGTCCCTTCTCCCGCTCTGGTATTTATCCTTCTGCCTCTACCTGTCTTGCCTCCCCCTCCCAACACTGTGTCCTTCCGTGTGCCCCCCTCCCCCATCCCCATGTTTTTTGCGTGCCTATGCATGCATGTGCCGTGTGAGGCCCCGCCTTTTCAGTGTGCTTCCTCATCACTAACACTCATCACTGCCATCCCGCTGAGGACTCGCATAGGACATGCGTGCTTCACGTAAGACGAGCTCATCGAGGTCCTCACTCATCTTGGCAACGTCGTCTGCTGTTAGATGATGCTGATCACATAGACCGGGATCCCACCAGGATTGGTTCTTCTGGCCAGTGTCCTACTGTCTGGCTTGATAGTGTTTATTACTAGGGGTTTATGGGAAATGAGTGAGTAGCATCATCAGTGTTCGCAGACATTCCCATTCACACAGCCCATGACATGCACACCCTTCACCAATGAGGTGAGGGCACCTTTCATAAGTAGGAATAAACGCATGTTGGATGACCAGTGAGCCAGTTAGTCCGTGTTCGCTGTGGATGGCTAATCTGGCTTTCATCATCACTTGCTCTCTGCGCTCCATCTTGTAATTATAAGGAAGTTATTTTAGGAGAGGAAGACTTGACTGCTCTTACCAGTATGCAGGGGCAGATAGCTGTGTGTGTGTGTGTGTGTGTGTGTGTGTGTGTGTGTGTGTGTGATTTCCCTGCCATCCTCTCTGCTGACTTGCTCCTGCCGTCCTTTTCTTCTGCCTTGTTCTTGCCTATAAGTGATGCTGGGCGTGTCTCTGTCTGTCTCTCTGTGCCTCTCAGAGGCGGGACTCACACCCTGGAGGTCCTCAGCTGGGGGGGGGGGGGGGGGGGGGTGGATCTCTTTATACTTGACATCACAGCTCCGGGGCCTGGGTCTGTCCAAGTCCTGTGTTCCCAAAGCCCCTCCTTGGGTCTGTCCGTCGATAACCTCACTGTGTGCTTGCAGCTAATCTGGAATGACAGCCAGCTCCATCTAACAGATCCCACCTGCTCTCGCCCCATTCACTGTGGCGTGTGCTATACAGGAAATACTTGTCAATAAAATGAATTTGCAGGTAATCTGTCTAAGTGGCAAGGTTGCTGAATGACTGTGTACTGGACTGTGACGTGTGTTTTGTAGATTAACGGTAGTTGGTAAGTACTGGGTTGACTCCTAGTGAGGCTGTTTTCTGATATGGTTTACATTGATCATTTACATAATGTTGTATGTTTTATTGGTGAACTTTCCATTATGAATTAGGAATGTTTAATATTAGGTCTTATGCGGGAGAAAAGGGCAATGTCAAAAGTTAAATTAATCCTTAATTTCACTAAAGGATTTATCTCTGTCCAGTTGAATAACTGGCCTGTCACTGCAGACCCTTTCCACTGTGCTGAACCAAAGTCCTTGGCTGTGTATCAAATGTTTAGTTTTATCTGTTGTTACTGATGGAAATGGTTGCCATGGTTATGAAGTCACCAAAATTCCAAATAAACCCGGTCAGTGGAGAGACTTAGTTCCCGAGGGAGAGGCGATAAATTGGGGGATTGCTCTGTGCTGCCACAGCCTTTTGCAGACAAGATAGATGTAGATAATAAATTAGGATTTCTATAAGAGCCACATAAAATTCGCTGATAGCGTCACCAGAGGCAGGATAGCCTCATTAAGCAGTCACTCCCTCTCCCCAGGCAAGCCATCGCTGACAGAATACATTAGTGATGAGTCTCCTTTGGTAATCTGTCACTGAAACCCTGTAACGGCCATGAGGTTTTTCCCAGATGCTGAATAACTTATGTAAATTTGTTTATCAGGTTACGGTGAGGAAGGTGGCACAGTGGTTGACACTGTAGCTTCACACCTCCAGGGTTGTGGGTTCAAATCCCGTCTGCTGTTCTGTGTGCGTGTGCGTGCGTGCCTTGTGAAGGACTGGCATCCCATCCAGGGTGTCCCCTGCCTCGTACCATGAGCCTCTTGGAATAAGCTCCACGCTCACCATGGCCTTGTACCATAGGTTATCTGGAAGAGGCATATACAGGTTCTGGTGGGCTTTCACCCTGGATTTATTGGTCTGGGATCCTAGTGCAGTCTTTCAGTTCACTGCTTTGTCTCAGCATTTCCTTGCACTTTGTGTATTTTGGTTGATACAGGCTTCAACCATGATTGGTGTCTGTCCTCGTACTACCTGAACTATTGTTTATGCAAGCTCTGTACGCCAACTGCTCTCCCGGCTCGCACCTGTGCCTGCTTGTCCCCACTCTGCTTCTGGCTTGAGTCCTCCGGACCAGCGTTTCCCAACCCGGCCCTCGGGGACCCTCGGACGGTCCACGTTTTTGCTCCATCCCAGCTCTCTGCCAGACAGTCCACATTTTTGCTCCTTCCCAGTTCTCGGGAGCGGGGCGGGAGCAAAAGCGTGGACTGTCTGGGGTTCCCTGTGGATCGGGTTGAGAAACACCGCTCTGGACAGTCGGCCGTCGGTCCTGCTGATACCGGAGTGCCCGAGGCTCAACCAAGGGTATCTCCTTACTGTTGTAGGTGGAACAGCCTGCGCCTAGAGACCCGCGCTGTGCCTCCCGTAGGACTTCTTGTCACACTTGTAGATTTGTAAGTGGAATAGGAGATTCTTTCTTTATACACGAGTGCAGCTGAATGACAGCCCGAATGACTTCATGTGTGAGTTGTATAGTTTGTGGGGCTCACCACAGGTGGGACAGGCACCAGTTCAAAGACTCATCCACGTATGAGTCTCTTAAGGGTTGGTCTTTGAAGCAGTGTTTCTCAAACCGGCCCTTGGGGACCCCCACCCCCACACGGTTCAGGTTGTGGACTGTCTGGCAGGGAGCTGGGAGGGAGCAAAAACGTGGACCGGATTCCCCAAGGACCGGATTGAAAGAGACTGCTTTAATACAAGCTTGGGAATACAGCAGCCTGTCTCCGCTAAGGAAGCTGTGTCCTTCTCCCTGTCACCTGCCAGTCTCCCCCTCAGCCCGACTGGTCGGCTTTTACCACCTCTCTATACTTCAGTCAAACGAGAGCCAGCCGGGCGTCATTTTCAGGGCCATTCTGCAAGCAATTGACCTCTAATTGTCTGCGGCTCGCAAAACAGAATTATTGCGCATACCCAGAATTGTGAAGAAATGTTACTTGCAGCTGGAGTTGTCAGTGTGGAGCGAGATGTATCCACCGGTTAGGTGATGCCGCAGGATCACATGGAAGCTGAGGTGAGAGTAGATCACACAAAGGGAGCCTGCTGAGATGTTTCTGAGCGCAGCCTGACGGTCACATCAGCCTTATAAGCTGAGAAAGGGTCAAAAATGGTGAACAGGCACGGAGATTTGACCGGTATTTCTGGCAGGTCCTATGTTTTAAAGTAGCACTCCTGGCATACAAAGTTTTGGACATGGTTAAATAAAATCGATCGAGCACTTAGTGGCTTAGGAAAGGAGCTCTGGGAAGAGGTGTGGCTGCACTGGATGTTGTTCACACTGTCTAATTGCATCAATAAACTGCACTTATTTAGTGGGTTACTCAATAACAGCATTTATGGGGCGCTTCAGTCAGATTAAAGTCTATTAGTTCAACACTGTTGTTCAGTAATTATTTCCAGTCCCTTGAAGGCAGTGGAGTGACGTATTTTCTTCCAGAATGAGTGATAATTAGCTCAGCTTTAAGGATCCTGGCAGGTCTCCTTGTACGTCACGTAGATGGAGCTTCAGACAGCCGTTGTGGTTCAGCTGGACTGGCCCTGGCTTGGGAGATCATCACGGCACTCTGCAGAAGGTGGTGCCCCCTGCTTATGAGCTGTGTCGGGCACCTGCAGGTCTAGCCGGGTGTGGTCCATGGTTGGTTCCGGGTCAGGGGCTTGAGGCTACAGACCCTCCCGACATATCTGAGCCAGGCTCCGGTTCCTCAACTTCAGTCCGGCTGTCTGCTCCTAATTGTGTCTGTGAATCTCCTCCCACTGGAGGAGATCTGTGTGTGTTTTTCCCCCACAAAGTGACACCTCCCGTCTCCTCCTGCCCCTCCTTCCCCTCCCTCAGCTTCCACCTGTGACCTCTCTCTCTGTCTTTTTCTCTCTCTCACTGTTCTTTCTCATCCCCACTCCGCATGCATCTCGCCCTCTCTAGGAAGCTCAGACCACTGTTATCCATAAGCCAGTGGATGGGACCAAGGTACACCCCCCTCCCCCCCGCAGTCCCGTCTGTGCCCCCACCCCCTGCGTCTGGAGAGCCCGTTGGGCGGCACAGATGCGTGCCCGTCCGCGCTGCTCAAAGCTTGCTTCCGCCGACTCTCAGTGCTGGTGCTTTTTCCGTGTGCCTCTGTGTAAGTGTACATGTGGTGGCACAGCCATGACCAGCGCCCCCCCCCCACGGCAGATAAGGAACTCTCTCTGGCCATTCTGGGAAGACCAGTCCCGGTCAGAACATCACAGGGCGGTCATGTAATCCTCGACCTCATCCTGTCCATTCACGAAAATGTGATATCATGGCCCGCGGACGAACTGAAGGAAATCACCGGTTAATCCGGCTGAGTAACGGAGGCTGGGCTTGTGGGGCAGAGAGCAGACTGACCCACTTCTGTCTGAGGATAACTGTGCCGTTTCCATGTGCTCACAGCGGCCGGTGAGCATCCACCTAAACGCTGCGGAAACGTTCCTCATCATGGCCATGATGAGCCCGCAGAGCCTCTTACAGGCCCTGACTCACCGCCACACACTCCGATTTCTGCTCTATAGTGCTTCCATGGGCAGGTTTACTTAACAGAGGGCTCCCCCCCCCCCCGTGCCCCTGCGGTGACCTCGCCGTCACCCCAACCCTGCTTATCACACTCTTTGTGCAGAAAGGATGTTACCTTGCGGTGGAGTCTTTTGTTTCTCCACCTGTCTGCCCATCTGCCCCCACCCCCCGATCAGCTGCGAACAAGGTAGGAGTGCCCACCTGCTGACAGGCAAGGCTCGTCTGTGATTGGTGGAGGGGTTGGGGAAGAGGGCCGGCCGGTATGCCCCGGCTGTCGGAGACGCCAGCTTCAGTGCAGAGTCCCAGGATCCGAGGACCTGCACTGACTCTGTCTCAGCGTGACCTTCGTCTGTCCTGAGCTCAGGATGCTGGCGTGACACTGAAGGCCCACCCTGAGCAGGCCTACAGTGACTACTGCCTGCAGCCTGTTACTCACCAGGCCTCCTGGGACCGGCCCGTCCTGGGTTAAGTATATACATCACTGTCCCGGAGTAAACACTGACGATAATTCGGCCTATGGATATAATCTGGTCCTAAACACAAATATAGAAAACACATCCATTGACATCAGCAAAATAAAAAATGTTTGAAACTGGTAACAAATCTTGACAGATTTTATGGCATCCACAAACCGTTGCAAGCAGCAAGGGGGAAAAATGTAATATGGAAATGTGAGTGAAGAACAAGAGGTCAAATGTAGTGCAGCGTGATGCTCAACTCATTACTGCCACATGGTGGACTTTGTTGGAACTACAGGGCAGAGTCTCTCCCCGCTGCTAGGGCACTTCCCGCTTGGCCAGCCGCCTCCTCTTCTCCGCCTGTCTCTGTGTAGTGCCGTGTCTGTGAGGGGAATGGAAGCCCTGGTGCAGAGCCAGCGAATCCCAGGCCCAACTCCCCCTAAAGAGACGCTGACCAGGGCTTCCGTTCCCGGCGCTGCTCTTCATGCCATAGGTGCCAGCGGTGCGTTAGCGAGGGGGGAGGGGTGCCGTGATTCGCCACGTCATGGTGAGGTCCTGTGTGTGGGCGTACC